AGCTAAAAATACAGGGCAGTACGATGAAAAAAGTTGAAGAAAATGGTGATCTGATCATTTTTCTTGTTCTGTTAGTTAACAGACGGAAAAGCTGGTGTCAAGGTGCTCCAACATTGTAACAATGGAGGAAGATTTGGTGCTGGCAACTATTCTTCCAACATACAGAACAGAGTGTGAAGATGAGGAATACAGAACAGAGTATGAAGATGAGGATACATGTTGTATTTGATCAAACCTTTAATATGTGATATTCTTGGGCATTTTTGCAGGACAATGATCTAATACACATCCACTCCTCAAATACTTTACATTACAGTCTGTGACTGAACTTGGGGGGGCTGACAGAGAGGAGTGATGTACATCAGCTGACATGAGCTATGTGGTTAAAAAGAAGCATGGCAAAGTGGCATCAAACACCTCTGATTCCAGCCTGACTTAACTAATAGACAAAAACCTCTCCGTTATTCTATTCCATAGTGAACAACTTGGTCTGAATGCAAGGATTCTGTATTTCCACTGGTGAAACTGAAGAACAGTTTTCCTTTGCTCTGTCTCACTTCTTAAACCTGTTAATTTGTATTTATGACCATAAATACAGAGATCATTCTGCAGGTCAAGCATTTTCTAGAATTCTCTGGTGTAGAGACTCACTCGGTAAAATACATCCTGTAGTTTTAGTTGGCAAATATAACAGAAACAAGAATTAAAGTAATAAGATCTTAGGCACTTGGGAAAAAAAAAAAAAAGAAACAAACAAAAAAGATTGTTATCTCCATTTTTCAATTGCTGTTAGTGAGAAAAGTACCCAGCAATATGTAGGTCAGCATCAGTAGCTGCTTTGGTAGTCTGAGAACAGTTTAAAGGAAGGAAGAGGTGTTTTTTTTGTGGTTGAATAAGTTACTCTATTTCCATGAAGTAGCTGTGTCTCACCCCCAAAGGGAGAAGCATTATCAGCAAATGAATGAACAGGGCATTCTGTGTTATGCCAGTAGCACTGTCTTTGAAAACAAGGGAGACAAGAAAAACAGATTTGGTGTGGCTTTTATTTTCCTGTCGACCATTGTAATAGAGCTTCTCCATTAACTCATTCTTGTCAGGTTGAATTGAAAGTGACAGTTAATAACTTACACCAGCATCTGCTTTCACTTGATGCAATAGCAATAGAGCTCTGCAGTGTCCTCACAGTGTTTGGAGAAACATGGTTTGCAGGCAGAGGTACTGTCTTATATTAGAGTACTAGGCACAGATGGAGAAAAATAAGAAGATATGCTCTTGGGCCAACAATCTCTTTATTAGGTAACCTGGAAACTCCAGTTCTTACTGATATACTGGTAAAATCTAGTGGATATTTGCATTCTGCTTCAACTAAGTTATCAGAAGTTCAGTTCCTTACTGATACCACCCCACTCACTTGATTACGCTGCAATGAGCTTTCCCAGCAGCAGAAGTTGCATCTGAGCTAGGAAAACAAGTCACAAGCTAGGAAAACAAGTATTTTTATTTTACAGCCTATGCAATGACTGATCCAGATTATAGCTTCTTGTTCAGTGTGGGAATCAAGCAACTCAGACCAGTGACAGGAAAACCTCCGGGTCAGCCCACGCAGTAGTACTGCATCAAGTGTGTGCCGAGCAGTGATCCACCAGATGGAGGCTACCCTGACAGCTCGTGAAGGACAGGGTCCTGGGCAGGCATGTTATGTGTCAGTAGGTGTTTCAGTGTTTTCCTGATTCTCTCTCTAATCCCTTAGACAATTTACAGCATTAACACAGTATGTTATACTATCCCTTTGAATACATTCTAACCTACAAAAAAAAAATACATTAGTCAATGTTTTGCTCTAGCTACTTCTGCAAGCAAAATTTTGTGTCACTCTAAAATTTGTGTTTGGTCTTTTCCATGAGACCTTTTAGTGCTCAAGTCAAAGTAATAGATCTGTAATTGGTTTCAAAGCATGCTTAGATTGAGATATATCACACACTGTAGTCAAATTCTCTGGATATTCCTTAGTAACATTTACTCTTGTCATCACACTTTCAGTGATTTTCAAACATGAGGAACTGTTGATGTCAAATTTTATATTGTTCTTTTGTCAGTGTGTAGGCAAGCATATTTTGGTATACTCACTTTATTCCATCTGTCAGGTAGGACAAATTCTGCCTTTAATTATACCTACTTTAAATGAACACTTATGTTCAAAAGTATTGATGCCTCCCAGTATTTCTACACTGATTGTCTCACAAACCACATGGCTTGTTTGTTGTTGTTTTCTTCATATTGTCGCATTGGCATTTTTTGTAATCTGATTTACAATAAATCCCTTTCATCTTCACCTGCAGCTTTTTCTGAATGGAGTACATGGAAAAAAAACTTGCAAGTGGGACATTTTCCCAGTTATGATCTTCACTGTTTTGCTTTCTTTCCTTCCTTTCTCATCCCTCCCCTTATTTCACTAGATTCTTTTCTGGTGGCCTAGATTTAACATCGTTTTACTGCCGATTCTTGCAGTTGCAAAACTGTGCTAGTATCATATTGTATTAGTCAGGAAAAGTTATTTAGGGCAGGGACAGTCTTTTTGGTCTATGTTAGCACATAGATGTCCTGAGCCAGAATGGAAACTCAGAGGTACTGCTCTCGTATGAATGGTAGCAGGAGAGAGAAATGTATCTGTATGCCTATACCTATACAGAGATTGATGAAGGTAAATGTATCTAAAATTTGAATTAAACCTATTCTACTTACTTCATTTCTGATCCATAACGACCCTCCTCCTTTATTTCTTCCGAGGTCACCTACTTCTTTACTTGCTCTTCCACAACCCCTGTCCTCAGCCTTTTTATTTCCTTCAGATTCTTGCTCCTGAATTACTGGAGTATTGTTCACAGCTACTCACTGTAGAAAAAGGGGACAATGTTAATGATCCATTGAAACAACTTAAGATTTGTTACCCAGAAGTTCTAGCCTGAAGGGGACAATTCACAAAAATAGCAGTATAAGGCCGTTACTATTCCACTGGCCACAAGTCAAGCAAAAAAAGATTCCTGGTTTCCCTTCCAACAGCTGCTTGTATCTGCTTGTTCATCAGAGATTACCATCTGTTCAGCTTTGCTGATTTAGTGTTTGGATGCTTGTGCCCTGTACCAGACCTCATATCAGTTCTGAAAACAAATCCAACCAAAAATGAACCTTACTTCTCCTCCTTCTTACTCAGTTACTATTTTTACATCAAACTCTCCTGGTTCTTCATTGGGACACTACCAAAATAAAGTACTGATTCAGAAAAAAAGCACAAAGGGCACAAGAATAAGCAGGAATCAGAATTTCTTCAATCTGTTCTAACAGAACATAAACATACAACCACAGGCTATCAGTATGCAAAGGCTTAAAAAAAAAAAAAAAAAAGGCCTCGTTTGATGAACTTGCAACTCAAGAGCTGCTGTTCCCTTCCCTCAATTGAATGACTGTGTCATCAAAGGGCTTTTTGCATCCATAGCATCCAACAAACTAGTTTGTAAGTCTCAGGAATTTAGATAGCATCCTCTTCTTGGATTTTGAATAGGGCCTTCTGGATGTGATACTAAGCTTTGTTCCTTGGTAAGCTAAAGATCCTTTTCTCTGTGTAAGTGCGTGCGTGTGAGATAGAGTGGCTCTGTCAGAATGGATGATCTCATCTTCTTGAGTGGCTTTAATTGCATAGGCTAATCATCCTGTACAGGCTAATTTCACTTACTCTGTCTGTGACACAGTAAGCTTCTACAAAGCACAAACAATACACGAATAAATAAGCCCAAATATTAATCATTCCCGTCATTGTTAACTGTTGAATGTTGCAGGCGACCTGTGCGAAAATGCTGACAGGCAGTGCAGGGAGGGTTAGAAAGAGAAATATGTCTCCACTGGTATCACCTCTCTATGCTAAATGGTTTTGGACAAAGGAACATTTAATCCTTAGAGCTCATATATCTGAAAAGCATCTGATTCATATTTGAAATGAGGGGAACTGGACAGGTACTCAGTACTTTCAGAATATTTTCAATGAAGAGAATAGTTCTGTCCCTATTGTAGACTTTGGAGTATGATCAGAAAAAAATAGTATTAATCTCCCCAGGGGACTCAGACTTCCTATATCAGAGTGGGTAAAAGTCATTAATTACCTTCCAAGTTCCTTACAGTGCTACAAGCAGAAAACTCACCAAACTCTGCTCTCAGAACAGTCCTTTGCTCATTCTTTCACCCAGGCTGTATGTGTGTGTAGGGCAGTAAGGAAGTTTTGGCAAGTATATCACACATACCTCAGTATGAAATGTCATTCGAATGATTTAGGAAAGAGATTAACCAAAACAGCTTAAAGTGATATTTGCCAATAAGGATCAGAAGCCTGTTAAAGAACACAGCCATTTTGAGCCTCTGCCATTTGCCATCTGGCTCCATTTTCAGCCTCCCCTCCTCTCCTAACACTCAGAGAAACTTAATCTCCCTCCTTTCAGTCACAACCCAGATGTGCAGCTTCTCTTCCTGGGCAGCAGGAGGAGGAGAGCTCAAATCCATTTGCTTTCAATGCTCTCCCACTGGAGTTGTGGTTTGCTTGCTTGTACTTGTCTCTCTAGCTGTACAGCTGAACTGAGACTGTTCTACCTCAGTGCAGACAGCTGAGGTCAGTAATAGAACTTCTACACACAAAAACATATTTTATCTGTAAGCAGCTAGAACTAGCCTGCCCTACACTGACCTGTCGCCAGCAGAATTGCATTAAAAGAGCTATCTCAAAAGCAATACTTTTTCCTCCAACAGTGAAGCAAAGCTTGAGAGGTCATAGGATATATTATGTTAACTCTAGGATTTTCTACATTTCTCTGATTTTAAATCAGAGGTTGATTTAATAGAATTTCTTTGCATTAATGTCCTCTGTTTAACCAAAGGAAAAAATGAAATTAAATCAGCTGTACTTAATCATGTTAGTATTTAAATTGTTCTAATTAGTCTTTGAAGTTCATGTGTAACTTAGGTGAATGGGATAAAACATGACTATGACTCCAGTTCTGTGGGCTTGCTCCTTCTAATTCTCCAATTTAGATCATGGCTGGGCTAACACAGAAGCAGGTGTGTTTACAGAGTAACAGCTGCTCTTTGGTAACAAGGTTGACTTCAGAGTTAATAGGAGCTTGGAATTGGGCATTGAAAAGTACAGTAAATTATCAAGTTACTCTAAAGATCTATAACATCTGTCCCTTGATTTTTTTTGTTTGGTATCCTTGTTTGTTAGTTAGTTTGTTTGTTTGTTTTCTTCCAATATTAAAGAAGTGTTCTTAGAAGAAAAAAAAAAGGCAAAAACTAAACAAAAAAAATCAAACTTACAGTTTTCTATCTCATTTTTCTTTTTTTTTTTTTGAGAATGAACAAAGTGAAAAAGAAAAGTAAAAAGAAAAGAGAAAAAAAAAAAGCCTTTATCTTTCTTCAATGAAGAACCACAGGAACTGACAGGAACAGTTTAAAATAGCCTGTAGTTCTAAGATACATTTCAAAGAAAGTGCATACAAGGTACAAATAACCATTCATGACCTCTGATTTTGCAGGCTGTCAAATATCCTGAGCCTTGAGAGAAATGAGAAACATCTCAGTCTGTAAACAATGGAACTAATGGAACCTGGTTTCCTGAAGATTTCTGTGGTATGTACCAATACTCCCTCACCTAAACCTGTCTCCCTATTTCCTCCCTTCATCACCATGGCCAACAGCACTTAGGTAAAAAATACCCTTATAGCATCTCCAATGATCTTTTCACTGCAAAGCCAGGCCATGACTCAAATCTTTTTTCATAATATTCCTATTTTCTCTCATTGCCTTCATAATTGCCAGTCCTCTTTAATATCTTTATTGATGATCTGGATGAGGACATTGAGTGCACCCTCAGTAAGTTTGCAGATGACACCAAGTTAAGTGCGTGTGTAGATCTGCTCGAGGGTAGGAAGGCTCTGCAGGAGGATCTGGATAGGCTGCACCGATGGGCTGAGGTCAACTGCATGAAGTTCAACAAGGCCAAGTGCCGGGTCCTGCACCTGGGGTGCAATAACCCCAAGCAGAGCTACAGGCTGGGAGATGAGTGGTTGGAAAGCTGTCTGGTGGAGAACGACCTGGGAGTGATGGTTGCTAGTCGGCTGAATATGAGCCAGCAGTGTGCTCAGGTGGCCAAGAAGGCCAACGGCATCCTGGCTTGTATCAGAAGCAGTGTGACCAGCAGGGCTAGGGAGGTGATCGTCCCCCTGTACTCGGCTCTGGTGAGGCCGCACCTCGAGTACTGTGTTCAGTTTTGGGCCCCTCGCTACAAGAAGGACATGGAGGTGCTTGAGAGAGTCCAGAGAAGGGCGACGAAGCTGGTGAGGGGCCTGGAGAACAAGTCCTACAAGGAGTGGCTGAGGGAGCTGGGATTGTTCAGCCTGGAGGAGGCTCAGGGGCGACCTTATCGCTCTCTACAGGTACCTTAAAGGAGGCTGTAGCAAGGTGGGGATTGGTCTATTCTCCCACGTGCCTGGTGACAGGACAAGAGGGAATGGGCTAAAGTTGTGCCAGGGGAGTTTTAGGTTGGATGTTAGGAAGAACTTCTTTACCAAGAGGGTTGTTAGGCATTGGAACAGGCTGCCCAGGGAAGTGGTTGAGTCACCATCCCTGGATGTGATGCATCTTTAAAAGACGTTTAGATGTAGAGCTTAGCGATATGGTTTAGTGGAGGACTAGTTAGTGTTAGGTCAGAGGTTGGACTCAATGATCTTGAGGTCTCTTCCAACCTAGAAATTCTGTGATTCTGTGATTCTCCATAGAAGCCTTCTCCCTTATTCCCCAGCAACCTTTGTCTCCTAGATGAGCAAGAAGTAGGAAAAAGTGTGACTTGGACAGATCTACCTTTGTACTGGTTAACCAGCTGGCATGTACCTGCTGCTTGTCCAGGAGCTGTGCCTCTGAGTGACCAGGCCATCAAACTGAGGCTGCGAGAGCAGAGAGCTCCCTGCCTTCCGCTCTCTGACTACAAAGTCAGGAAACGTGTGGGAATTTAAATTCTTCAGATCTCCACACTTCTTTTAAGCTAAGTAGAAATTAGCTGATAAGGTGAACAGAAATTTAAGGAGGGAACAGATAAATACTGTGAATATGTAAGCTTTATTTCCTTAGAAAAGCTGGTTTAAAATTAATTTATTTAACTCAGACTACAGATTTGTGTACTCCTTAACACAATTAGAATGGCCAACTTCTTAACACATAACAGTTTTTCTCTCTCTTCTGTGTATTTATATGGTCTGTATTACCATAGTAATAGGATCCCAGCATCCTTTAATAAATGAGAGGAATGTCCCTTCCTCTCCCCAGTGAAAATGACCAGTACTGTCATCCCAATTTTAAGTGCAGGAATTGTGTCAGAGAGCCCCTAAGGCCCCTGCATGGAAAGTAATGCCTAAGCAAAGGGGCACATGCCATTGCAGCATGCAGCACTCTAACACCTTGCTGTGTACAAACCCTCAGAATCACGTCGTGTGATGCAATTTTCCTCAGCAACCACAACCTCATAAAGAACATCGCTTTCTGCTATACCAAATTCATCCTGAATAACAAATGCAGAGCAGTCAGTATCATAAAAATAATCAGATTAGGTCCTGGTTCTGGTTTATTGCTACCCTTCTCATGCCCCTTTCTTTCCTATTCCTTGTATATTTTTTTTTCTGCTCTTTTCTCTATTTTTCCTCTTCTCTCACTAAGACATCCATTTAAAAGAGGTATTTTCTATCTATAGCACTTGAGATAGAGCTTGTTTGAATAGAGCTTGACTCGGACCCTTCTATCTCACATCTGTGGCTCCACAAAGGCAGGAAATACTTCCTATTTGTTGTTTTCTAGAATTGTTTTATGCTCATAGTAAATTACTGGCTCTCCCTTGACTATGAAGATTTTTATTCAGAATGCATAGCCTTCCATCTTAAGAGGCTGTATTGACCATGCTTTGCAAAAAGTTTATACCTTAAAAAACAAAAGACATCAAAATTTGATTAAGCAGCTGCAGGCTTTCATTGTATAGTCTCTCCATAAGCTTCTGATGCACCTATGTTATTACAGATATAGATAAATAAAAAAAGATTTTATTTTTTTTTCTGTTAAGAAGTTTAGCTATGTAATCAAAAGTAATTCAGTACCTGTTCAGCCTTGCTAACAAGAGGCAGATTCCACACCCTAGTAGAAAAATGATCAAAGGTTCTTTTGGCATCAATGAATGCTAAATAAATAATAGTAGTAATAATAATCATGAGGGAACAAACTCCTAAGACTCATGCAGCTGTGAGCATTTTTACGTTTTTTTGTACTTTAAACTTGAATCACATCTCAGGGGTTGTTACCATGTAGGTGAACAGGATTAAAGCCAAGTGACAAAGGGTGGGACTTTTGAAATGTCTTAGAAACTGGCATAGACATGAATGGGGGCTAGGTTGGACAAAAAGGGAAGAGCTATTATAGGCTGTCACTTCAGAAAAAGCATTTAATTTGATCACGTGTGACTATGGCTCAGAAACACAACAAATGCTTTAGAGGGAGGCAAAAAAGAAAGAATGTACCTGACTGTTTTCATAAGGCTGCTAACAAGCAATAATTCTTTCTTATCCAAAGTGGCAATCAGCTGATATCCTGAAGCAGATTTGATTATCCAGCTTACAAAACACAATGTCAGTTGTCATAAAATTACCCTAAATCATTCTAAGAATACACTATTTTCATTGCAGTTATGCTAGGGAGCCTTGGTGACAGATCAGAATGCAATGCCTCAACACATAAAGAATTGGTGATTCTTTCTCCGAAGAGTTTGTGGAAGATGACTGACAGGAAATGCACGTGGAATCTGTCGATTGATATTGGTCAGCACAGCAAGAAAAAATCACATTACACCAAATGTTTAACCAGTATTGTTTAGTATTGTTTTTGTATAGGCATCATAGGAGAGCAGACTTTTAAAAAGGTATTACAGCAGCTACAATGCAATTCCTTAGGAGGTGATTAAGTGGTGCTCCACCTACACAGAGACAATCCCCCACCCCACCCCCCCCCAAAAAAAAAAAGGAAGGCTTATAAGAGAAAATAATAATTAACTGATAAAGGTGGCATCAAAAGGAGTAATTGTGGAAATGACACCTAGCTAGTGTGTGAAATGTTGGGTAACCAAATCCACAAACAGCCTTGAAAGTAACTGAAGTGGTAGAGAAGGGGCATGTTGTAAGGGCAAGCCACAAACAGATAATGCCACAACAAGACCCAGCCAAGAAATCGAGAAGTTAATCTTTGCAGCAATGTGTTGATGATAAAAATTAGATTGTAGGCAAACTGTTGTCAGCAAGCAATGTTGAGATTTTTATTTGGATAGGAGGGGAGTCTCCTTTGAAAGAGCTAAAAAGAATTTTTAAAAGTAACATTCTGGTTTAAAAAAGAGACAATGTGAATTCAACACTACAGATTAAAAAAAAAAAAAAAAAAAAAAGGAGACAGAGAGGAAATAGGAAATGAAATCAGTTAATTGTTTTGGTTAGTTCTGGCCACCCCACCTGAGTGATGTCAGAGTATCATCATCTTTCTGTCCATCACAGGACAATTGTTTATGCCTGTGCAAAATCATTTCTTGCAAAAGAACCTTTCAAGTGTTGATGAGATCAATGTAATACAGGGCTATTACTAAAAGTATAATCTTCTTCATTTACAATGATGACGCACAAAATGGAGAGAATCCTGCTTAGTTCTTTCCTGCTTAGTTCTTAAAAGTCCAAGTTGAATGTGGAGGACTGCCAGTTAAAAAAGCATTATTTACTAGTGCTATGGGTGCATTTCCTGGGGAAATCGATGAGATAGAAAAAAGGAAAAAAAACAACAACAAACAAACAAACAAACAAAAATAATATTCTGTGCGATTCAATTTGTAACTGTCCACTTTCAAAGTAAACCACATGAAAAATTCATTTAAACATTATGGAGTGAAATGTTCAGGTGATGAAAATGAGAGAATCTCCTACAAAATTAATGAAGCTTTGCATCAGTTAAATATGTTTTGGTTACCTCTTTACTTTTTTTTTTTAAATACGGTTGAAAGCCAGTATTATTTATGTGGACGACAACGAATAATATTAATTGAAAAATCACCAGCAGATGAATTTTATATGTGGATAAAACCAACACAAAGTGAACATAGACTATGCTGAGCATTTTTATTATTCATTATTAAGGGAGATGAAAAGAAAAGACATTGCTTTGTTAATGCATTAAAGCCCCCTCCCTGAAAAAGTCTATGACCTACAGAAAGCAGGGGGTGGAAAAAGTGTTATTCTCTAGAAGGTGGTCAGTGTACATTCTTGGAGATCCAGAGATCTTGGAGATCCGTAACAGCACATAATTTCATGTGGAAAGTATCTATCGAATTGCAAAAGCTGAAAAATATCACAAAAGACAAAATATGTGTCACGGTTTCAACAGCACTTTGGTTATCTATATGATTGTACACAGTTCAAAACTGTCAAAGAAAAGAAATAACATTCCACTTGCATCTACAAATGCTTGCATCTGAATTTGTAATTGGGGCAATTACCAACTAAATTACCTGCCTGCATATGTAATTAGGTAATCTGCTACATTTTTGTGGTGGTGACAGCCTTTGTAATTGCCCGTACTTTCACTGAGATCTACTAATTAAATCAAAGGACAGAAAGCCGAGAGGTTTCTAGATCCTTATGTAGGCTGAGTCACCTGTTGATTCTATTGTGTAACACCTGAGTAGGCAGTTCAATGGAGTTAATTAGTCATTCTCACTTGGGAACTAGTTGGCTGCAGCAACAGATATTATTGTGCTTACAAATATCAGAAAGGATGGCATTCTGAAGATTTCTAGTGCAAGTTAAATCTTAGTATAGACCCAGGATCCTTCCCCCTCTCTGTTAAATTGTAGATCATCTAAGTTTAAAAGCAACTGATTACATCTAGAAAAATCTCTTTAATCCAAACACATACAAATCAATTGTCTAGTTTCATAGTGGTAAAAATGCCAGTATTTGTTTCTTTTTTTTTTTTTTTCTCCTTTCTCATAGGAACTTCTTATAAGAAAAGAGCACCTCAGGAATCAAGTCCAGAATCCCTCCACCAGAGACAACCATGCAATAGTCACTCCCCCAGAAGGGTTCACAAAATTGCTACTCCCTCCCTATCTTTCACAGACACTTCCTATAATCACACAGTGAATTTCAGACCTGAAGTAAAAGCTCGAGGAACACACTTCTAATTACTATTGCAAAGAGAACAGAAAAGATGAAGTATGTTACCAGTGATTTATACCTCTACTAAGCCGTATTTTTGCTCAATGACTAGCAGGTCTGTTGCACACTACCAAAGATGATCTGAAGTGATCTCTGCCAGTCAAATCTGAAAAAAAAAATCCTTTCCAGACCCCAAATCAAGCAATCGGAGTAACTCTGGGTGTGTGAGCAAGACTCATCAGCCAGACATTTGTCCGAGTTTAATACTGCTTGCCAAATCCACTCACATACCACTTTCATGCAGTTTAGTTGTGAGACAAGAACTAGTGAGGAGAAAAAAAGTCAGATATAGAGTTCATGTTGTATGTTCTTGAGGATGACACTATTCCCATTCCATTCCATTTTCAGAAAAGAAAGGACCAGGGGTTTTAGGCAAACTAGTGTCAGATGTGGTGAGATTTTAGCTTGGATAGCAGGGGACTTTTGTATTTCCTTTGTAAGAGCCAAAAAAATAAATATAATAAAAAATTGCAAACAAACAAACAAAAAAACTCATTGTTTTGAAATAGCATAGCCCAGATTAAAAAGTAATAATAATTAAATGATGTGTTTTTCAGTGAGTTTTGATTACCCCTGAGGAAAAAAGGTAGCCAAATTAGACATCAAAATGGAAAACATCCTTTCTGTCTCTTGCAGTTAGGTAATGAGATTCCATACACCACGGTGTGCATAAAAAATAAACATGAAACAAAGAAACTCAACCAAGTAGATTTCAAGCAGCTTTTCAAATCCATTAGGGATAGCTGTAAATCTAATACTCATGACTTAAAATACCAAGTATCTACCTCAAGATACCCTCCTAAGCTCTGATCTCTTCCTTAATTTACTGAGCTCACTTCATTTTACCTTACTTAGCTTCCAAGCTTCACAACGGAAAACAGCGCGCACTTTTCAACAGTGTCTAACTAGGAAAAGAATCTAAGAGGAAAGGCACATACATAGTTGATGAGAGTACATCCAAAGGCCATTTTCAGCTATAATAGAATACCTCCGTGTACCTTGATGAAGCTGATGGGATTACTTCTAAATGACTCTGCTATCAGAAAGAGCAGAATCTGTCCCATCAACCTGCAAATATTTGATCATTCTGTTTGGTCCCTTACTGATTAAAGCTTTGCCAAGAGCTGATTGGCCTTGATTCACTCAACCTAACTAACACCTTTCATCTAAAAAAACTGGGGATTCAAAGCCAGTAGAAAGATGCACTCACCTCTGATAAATTATATGGCTGAGGTAGGGCTGGAATTGCTCTCTTAAAGTCTGCAGCTCACCAGAGGGAGTCTTTGGCAGTGAGTTTCTAGTTTAGCTAGGAATCCAACCCTTGCAACTTCCATGGCAGTCTCCTGTCTTTTAATTCGTTCATTTTTTTAGTGAGGTGCAATGTACGGGAAAAGGGAAAGGCACACGAGTGGAACGTTACTGAACAAATGCTGATTCCACAAGAATCAGTTTTGGTGGCTCCAAGTCCCATGTTATTCTAAGCGTGGTGCAGATTTCCATGTCATAAACCAGTCGCACCTATCCTGTCCTCTGTAATAGGATCAGCACAAACTTCAGTGTCCAGCTCATTTTGTATCACAGAGTCCACTTTCTATCCTACCTGCACATACATCACGGTCAGTTGTTAATAGGATATTGATTATGGCTGGTACTCTTTTAATCAATGTTTGTTAACTTCATGAATTTCCTCATTATGCATACATCAGTGTGATGATGAACAGACTGGTTATAATTCTGGATGAAAGGCAACAGAAAGTGGGAGGCTGTTTCAGCTGGCATGGAATGATAGCACAAAAGTCATGAGTGGGTGAAGGAAACCAAAACTTGGGTGGAGCAAAAAGAAAAGGGTAGGGTGTAAATTGAGAAGATGGTGAAGCTGCGGGCAGGGATGACACATTCCGTACAGTTATTACAGTGTTTTTAATTATCTCCTATGCCTAACATTCCACTAGCACCTTGCTGCCATGGGTGGAGACTGATGGGTGTAAAGGGCCATCGTTCCCATCCCTCTCTTGCGCAATTCAAACCACAGTGATAACAGGCAAATCTGTAGTGATAAGGCTCTTTTACTATTCATCCCTCCCAAATGTAAGTTGAGCTTTCTATAGGTGATCTGTATTTCCTGTGTTCATGAATGTTATTCATCTGCTGAAGTCAAAGTCATACCAGTTTTTGCAGTTATTAAGATCACAAAGGCCAGTTTTTCTTGTCCATAATATGTTCACCTAGGGTGTGTGGCCTAATTACTAGGTGGAGCTGTTAAAAGGAAAAATAGTTCATTTTTTTCCTTTTCCTCACTGACAAAATTCTTAACTGACAGGAAAAGATACTTTTCCATCAGTTCTGTTTCCGATTGGCATAGGCTCTCCTGAAGCACAGTGCCCAGATTGTGCAAGGTTCATGAACAAAGCTTTAAAAAAACAAGCAAAGAAACAGCAATAAAAAGAAACAAACAAACAAACCCACACTCAAATTTCCTACAGCACTTTTACAGGTACTGCAATAAAATAGATAGCGGTTACACCATTTTTAACATGTTTTAAAGATTTCTATATGGGGAACAAGACCTAGAATAGACTTTGTAAACTTGTTTTATAATTTATTCTTTTCTTTAAGTGAATGATGCACTGTGCTTATGCAATCAGCTACCTCAAGTCACTTTTGTGATCTGACTTAGGAGCTAGACATAGCACAGGCTCTACACAGCAGATATTCACCACTCCTACCACTCCAACTTCCCCTTCAAAACCCATATCCTTCCTCTTGCTCAGCCTTAGCTTTACTCCTACATCTTAAGACTGCAAGATAATGCACGGTTTGGTTCTTGCTGAATTTTGGAAGATGAAGAAGCCAGCACAGATGTCAGTCTTGCCCTTATACAAAACAGCTGGCTCCTTGTTACACACAGGAATCCAGGAGGAAATGGGAACCCCACCAAGATACCAGCTTGCCCCTGTGAGAGATAACAGGTCTGGTGGCTTCATGAATTTTCTGGAACTGGTATCACAGTGGCCAGATATCATCAGTCAGCTCTATCTTGGTCCTAAAGTACAGTGACACTCTGCCTCTGCTGTGTTCCCAATGCACCTCTTCCACAGCACCTGCGGGAACCACAGCTTCATGCAGATGCAAGATGTTGTTGATGCTGTATCTAAAAACTGTGGCTTCCAGCTCAGCTGACTCGGGGTAATTTCCCCCCCAGTCCCTCTGTGAGTCAGCCGCTCCATGGCGCCTGCAGCAATTCAGCTGTGCCTCTCTTCGAACATGTTCGTGCCTTGCTGTCTGGGAACGACTTGTCTGCACTCTGTTGAGTTGCAGTTCACTATCTCTAATAGGATGATACAGCTTTGGTGTTAATAATCAGATTATCTTATGCTATAGTTTGAGGTGATCAGATATTGCAGTAACTGAAGCCATAAAAGGAACTAAGAGAGAAGACCCAAATTCATGAAATTCTGAGCTTTCAGTTTAGTTGCTGCTTCATGGTTCTGGGCCCTACCCAAGGGCCCAGCTCATTGTAATTCTCTACTATGGAATGCGATGATATATTTAAGTGATTAATTTACTGTCACTTTTACTGTGTTACCACTTATTTTTCAGCAAAGGTCTGAGATATACCAGTAATACATTTAACCATGCATCACTCATCCCATGGGAAACACAGAAAACAAACAGAAACCAACCATCTCTTTCCTGACTTGAACTGCTCTTGTTAGCTTGGGAATTTGCTTTGCAGATTGGTTTTGTTGTTTTCAGGAATTACTTTTGCAAATGACCGGAATTAAAAGGAGGTAATTTAGAGAGGCCTTCTTTGTAAACAAAAGCAAAAGAAAAAAATCTCACTGCATAGTTTCTCAATGCACTACTTATATGTTTAAAATACAAATCTAGAAGATTAAACCTGCCTTGAAACATGGTTTCCTGATTTGAAATCAACATATTCAATATTGTCATGCTGAGAGTTTTATGTATTGTCAGACTGTGATGATAGGCAGGAATAGTTTGTCATATACAGTTACTACTCACAAATTACAACTATTTGAATATGGTAGGTTTTTGAACAGATGTCATGGAAAAACAAGTCATGAATTACTCATTGAAGTGACTCAGGTTATTACTGAAACCTTATTACAAACTGTAGCTTTCTACATCAGTAACAATCTGATTCTGTATTAGAATCGATTGCAAAGCTTGCATAGGATCAGTCCTTTAAAAAGAATACTTAGAAAAAAATACATAATAATAGTGCCCCTGCAGTTCCTACTGTTGTTAAAGTATTTTTTATTGTGGAAGGAAAAGATTTCGTTTATTGAAATTTTACCATTTGCTGTGTGTATGAGACAAGAGGTCAGGCTCCAGACTAGACAAATCCTTCTCCCATCAATGACAGAAACAAGGGTGCATTTCAACGGAGCCTCCTTGCAAGTCCAAGGAACTTTTTGTTATGTAAATGAAACTAAGTGTTTTGTTTTTGTTGACGTTTGTAAATGCCAACTTGTAGATAGGTCTGTTGTGTTAAGCACATCAAACAAGGATCCAGAAAGTCAGTCTCCTGCATTCTGAGATTTGCTGTAGACATGGATAGTTTGCACTTCAAGCAGCAGCTCTTTGATGCTTTAAACACCCAGCTGACCAGTGATCATTAACACAAGAAGGTGGGAACACGCAGTCAAATGGAGATTCCTTGCAGAAGAGGGATGTTAACAGTGTTTGTCAAAATGAAACAGCTTCTACTTCATAATTACTTCGAACCAATACAAAAGCATACATAAAGCCCGAACCTGTTGCTGCCACTATTGATATCTAAAACTTCACTTCACACTGTGAGTGATGGAGGGGGAAAATAATTCTGATGCTCTTCAGTCTGCGAATAGGAATCCTTCCACGGGTGTGGACTGGGTCCTGTAGGATTAACATGGGACTGGAAATCACGTCAACACCACGCAATGGAGATCTTCAGTCTGCACGAGTTGCAGTGCAGAGATGAAAGCTACAAACCCATGTCAAAATATTTCAAGAAGTTTCACATGAAGGTCATTATGACCTTTCCAGCCCTTTCGAGCCCTATGATTTTCAAGTTAATAAGATCATTAGTTTGTCATAAGGGTGCAGGATCTGTATAATGGAAACAAAAGCTGGAGTTCTCAAAATAATTTCTAAAACACTGCTTTCAGAATTTTGCTTTTCTAGGAGACACAAAATATTTATAGATAAATTGAATATGCTTTTTTATGAGAGAGTATATGGTCTCCTGAGTATTCACTCTGGCTGTGATTCTGCTTTGGTGTTCTTTGCGTCATGCCTGAAACCCTGAGGATGAAAGCAGTCTGAGGAAGGGAAGACAAACTCACAGTTGTTCCATTTCATCATTTTCCCAATAAGTGCACTTCCAGAAAAGGGTGGCTTCTCATAATCATGGGCAGAAATAAATTAACACTTCGACCAGATCCAGTCATTCTTGGGCTGATCTCCACTTTATTCTTTCAGTACAGCAATCCCCAAATCTCATTGGTGTTTCCTGTACTACTGTTTTATTAAATACCTTGTTTGGAGGTCATTAATCTTCAGTAGTTCATACAAAGCTAAACTTGGATGTTAAAAAAAAGGCATAAAGAACACACTTTTTTGTGCCTTTAAAATTTTCATTTTATCATACACTGCAAACCAAGGACTCTGATTAATTTTCAAAATTGATCAAAGAGCTGCATAAAACATCCCTTCACAGTCCAAACTCTGTGGGCTCTAAGGGTGGAAATTTCAAAGCAACATGCAGAAGAACCTGTTACCCCAGATAAGTTAATTAACAAAACCAGTAATGGCTGAAGCTCTAAAGGTTTGAAGTTATAGGCAATAAAGGTTTGAAGTTATTTTTCAAACCTTTATTGCATTGTAATTTGTTTCGAAACCATGGGTGGGCAACTTCAGCATATCAAAAGATGTAACATACTTTTCCATTGTAATTGTGCAAAATACCATGCGTTAAAGTAAATAATCAGATTCCACTGTAAACATTGCTACACTACCACATGATAACCAGGGGAATCATGAAATGATCTCTGAATGTCACTTCTGATCTGTGAGGA